GTTCCTCACCTGCACCCGCGGGGCGGTGGCGGCTCCATCCCGATCCCGCCGCGGAGGCGGCGCTTGGCCGCGCCGGGCCGGGCCGGGCCGCGGGGGGGGGCCCCCGGCGGAGCGGTGCGGAGGGGAGCCCTCCCCGCACCTCTCCGCCGGGGGCCACCCCGATCCGCGGGTCCCGATCCCTCACATCCCCGCAAGCAGGAGGAGGGCGGGGAAAAAGAAAAAAAAGGCCGGGTTATCAATTCCCTGTTAACTCTTCTTGCGGTCTTGTCTTATCCCTTGGGCGTTTTCTGCGAGGAGGGTGGTGCTGCTGGAGATGATGGTGGCAGTGGGATGCTCCGTCAAGGGAGGGGTGGGGGGGGAGCAGTAGGGTCCCCGAGCTCCTCTAAACCAAGGTTGATGGGAGCCGTGCTGTCTCTGCTGGTGGCAAAGCGGCCAAGGAGGATTAGCCCTTGCTCATTTAAAGGTTAAGCTCAAAGCTAACCTTCGTGACTCGGTCCTGTCTGCAAGTCTTCCCATCCCGTGAGCCGTGAGAGTGAATAATTGTTTTCTCCCCCTACTCCAGCACCGATTCATATTAAAGCAGTCTAAAAATGGCAGATTGTTTCCATACTTTCATATACTTACAGGTGTTTATTAGACAAGTAGACAAACAACCAGCCAGGACACCGATACATTTAGCACTATAAACATGAGCTAAAGAGATAGTCCTGTCCCAAGACCTTATAAATTATGTATAAGAGGTGACGGATAAAGAAGAAGGCGATGAAACAACACCAGCTAGTATGACAGGCAGGGAACTCAGCACAGCATTGCACAAAGTACTGAAGGTATTGAATTATATGCTGTTACACATAGTCTTTTGCTCAAATCAGCTTTAAAGGTACCAGGAAACAAGATTATGGGGAACATAACTGTGTATTGATGGGATTTTCAAAACTGCCAAAATTACTCAAGAATATGCATTCCTTTTATTTTGACAATCCCATGTGAACTAAAGGATTCAGGGGAAGATTATAAGGATAACATGAGAATAACTACACTGAAGACACATAAACCTAATATTTGTACCAAACCCAATAAATGTACCAAAGTCATGGAGTAATGAGGAAACTTTTGGTCTCCATTATCAAGGTATCGAACAGCTAAATAATAATTAACCATCTTAACACCTCCAAAGAGCTTTGACTAATCTATAAGACATGAATATCCTTTACAAACATTGTGTTGACTTGTCCCTGTTGTTCCATACCTCCATGTACATCTGCTAATTTAATTCTGTAATGTAGAGTCAGCTAAATTGGCTGGCGCAGACAAATTATGGTCTGCCATTCCCACACTCTTTCAGATTTTTTTTTTGCAAGATGAGGTCATATATGCTGTATTCGTCCTTCAGGTTAAATTCCTCAAGTGTGAATACCACCTGGTCCATGTTATTTGTTGACATAATCATTGACTTGTTTTAAAAGCTCTTCAGTTTGAAATAACTGCCCCAAATTCAACCTTCTTAGAAAAAGATTCTGATGTAGACTCTTGAAACTCTCCTGTGGTGCATTCACACAGACTTTCCTCTTACAACCTAATCTTTTCTGGACACTCCTTAAAACTACAATTATATATTGCTCCTATAGATCCTCTGCACACTTCCTGCTTTTGATGCATTTGAAACAGATGTTAGTCACGCAACTTAATGCACTTTAGGTAAAAAAAAAATTACTAAGGTCTCATCATGGTATACAAATTTAGGCAGAATGAAAATAGAGTACTTTTTCCTTTTAAATACTATGCATCTACATTTACATAATAAATTGCAGTCCATAGCAACCCCTCCTCCCTAAACAATTAAAAGACTTCATCAAAGTCAATTTTTTCTATATTAAAAATGATTTAGGTCACTAAATTAAGTGACCAAAGGTTGTGAAAGCCAGAAGGCTGCCCATGAAACCTTAATTCAGACCTCTTGTGCATGTGCATTGTAACCCTGTATTTAATTATGAGCTTGTCTGCAGAACACCAGGCTCAATTTGGAACATTTGAAATTTTGTAGTGGCAAGCATGTGAGACTGGCTAATTATGTCAACTCCTGTGTTCCCATCCATTTATTCCTTTCCTTTCTAGGGTCTCTCTTGTGCTCATCCCTGCTCATCTCTCATGTGGAGATTTCTCTTTCCCCGGTCTGTCTGAAACCCTTACCCTTAGACAACCACTTTAGTAGTCAATCAGGTAAAGGTTGTTACCATAGGGTCACAGAAATTGCTAATTATTCCTTCAAAGGTTATTTGTGATTTTTCTCCAAAGTTGAGAAAAAAAAATTAAAAGGAATAAAAACAAAACAGGAAAAAAAAGAGATTGAAAAACAAGGAAACAAAAGTTTCCAGGTTGAAGCAGTAAAGAAATAAGGAATCGAGGTCAGTCTTCCTGATATCACAGACCTGTCTTCTTACAAAGGATCAGCTCTCAAATTACAAGCTTTACAAAGAGACAGTTGTAGCTGAAAGTAAAAGGAAGCATTAAGTTTCCTGATGCCTAGGAGGGGAATGATCACGATGTACTTATAAATAAAGCTGCAGTGTCTCAGTGGACATTCTGGAAAATTGAAGATTTTTTTTTTTAGTTTTGTGATAAAAACTCTACTTTCTGGCTGCTTCTCTTGGAAGAAGGCCTCACCGGGCCAAGTTGGTGAATTTGCTCTTCCCATAGAATTATGTTACTGTAGAACTGTAATGTTGTTGTAAAAAGTTTTCCAGCAGAACTAACAAAAAATTGAAGCATTGGTGTTTATGATACTACTACAGTGGACTAAAAGCAGTATTTCCACTCACTTATGGGAAATTTTAGACCTGAAAAGGCTAAAGCAATAACTATTCAGTTGGTTTTTTTTTCTGGAACATGAAAATTCAAAGAAAATTTGAGCTGGAAAAACATATTATTTTCTAAATGAAATGGAAATACTGCTTTTAGTCCACTGTAGTAGTATCACAAACAACACTGTTTCCATTTTCCAGTCAATCTCAATATCACAAAACTTATATTTTTAAAAGAGTTGCTAAAAATGGCAGTTATTCTCCTGAGTGCTTCAGTCTTTAGAGTCTTTCTGACCCTTTCCCATACACTGTCTTTGCAATCATTAGCAGTATAAACTTGATTTCTTAAATAAAAATCAGATTCTCTTCTTCTTATTTTCTTCCAGGAGTTTTAATAATTAAAAAAATCCTCAAAATTGTGATAATACTCTATGCTGAGCCACGCTGCAGGGTACAATGGATTTATTTTGAATGGGATAGGAAAGCAGAAAGTAAGGCACATTAAAGTGCAGTAAAATCAAACACTCATTACTTGAGGAACAGAACTGCACAGATATTTTTTCCCATAGGCTTACTATGCAGGCAAGTTCATACCGTGGGAGATTTTTAATGTGTGGCCTTCAAAACCTACCACACAGAGCTGCTGTGGGGATTAACTGGTTAAGATTTGTAAAGTGCTTTGAAGCTTATAAGGCATTAAGTTGCATAAGCGCTAAGCACTATTATTTAATATTTAAGTATTATAACCAAGCTTTACAGGACAACTCATGTTCACCTCGCTAGAACGAGTCTTTGTGATTTCACTACAGTTGTTGCAAGAGGTAAAGCAAGCAGAACAGACCACAACAGAGGGAAATTCCTTTCTTGTTTCACTATCAGAGACTAAACTAAGATACAACTGTAATGGTGTTGTAGAAAAATTAATTGAAAAATAAGTATTAGGAAATGCAAGTGTAGAAATCTACATAAAAATGCAGGGCTCCTTAAGGTGCCAGTTCTGTCATTTGTACTTAAACTATGTTCTGTCTTACCCAGGTAGGCCCATGGACTCTTCTCCCAGAAGTACAACTCCAAACCCCAAACCAATAGCTGAGTGACAGTAGGGATGGGTAAAATTTGTACATTCTAAGTTGTACTCCATACATGTTTTAGCTTGGTTAAGTGAAAAATTTGGAAGAAAGATCAACACTGACTGTTGTCTTTATCAATCAGATTGAGAACACCTTTTTTGATATGGTTGCTTTGTTGAGCTTAATTTTGGTATCAACCTTCCTCTCCCTTGTTTTGTAATGTCAGTTTTCCATAGCAGAAGTCATCATTGGTATTTTTGTGGTAGCAAAAGGACAAAGCATTGGTTAATAAAATAACAATGCAAACCACAGACAATATGATATAATTTTGAGCCGAAGTATGTTAGAGACAGAGGAACAGAAGTGTTTCAGGACTGCAGACAGGCACATACCACAGAGGTTAGGGTGGCATATAGTCAGACCCTGAGCTGCATCCCAGCATCTTGAAGTCACAAAGATCTTATTGGCATGCAGGGAAGGACAGTTTGGTTTATTTACCTTACAAGGACTAATTATTATTCAATAGCAGCGTCTTTGCAGGACAAAACACTGAGTACTTAACATTTCTTGTCTCTGCAACAGTGCTGCAGACATTTCACAAGGACAGACTTTTCAAGTATATGCATTTCCTCTCTGTGGCTAAACACAAAGATTACTTTCCTATAGCGTTTTGACATTTTGATCTGAGTTGAAGCATATAATACAAATTCATTTCACTGAAAGTCTCCAGTATCATCTGAAATTCAGCTTTAGAGATAAGTAAAGGCAAAAGAGGGAAAACAGAAAGTGAATAGTGTACTTGCACAACAGAGATTCACAGCCTTTCCTGGGTCAAGGAAGCTCCAGGCCCCTAATGCTCCTACTTCTCTTTGGAAAGCATATAGTTTGCTTCCTCTATTAAATTACCAACAATCATTGGTAATTTAACACAGACCAAATTATTTGTCCCAAAACACAAATAAACTCCATGAAAAAGCCAGAGTTCAATTTAGCTTTCTAGACACTGATCGCTGGCACAGACTGCTTTAATTTTGACACAGCTTAAAACACACTAGAACACTGCAGTTCAGAGAAAAGGTTGTACTGTGACAAGTTTGACTCTACACACTCTTGTTGCACAGTGTCTTACCAGGCTTTTGACCAGCTGTCCCAGGAGATGTGGGAAACTGGAGATAGTACATTTTATTCAGATTCAGCTCCTTAAGCTCAAATGTATTTGCTCAGAGATTCAGGGCTTCTTTGTTCTCAGTAGGTTTTGTAGGTTTTCCAATCTTTTATCTGAGACTCCACTCACATCCACAGTTGCTCACCCACCTCCAGGGTCACAGTGAAAATGAAAAAAGCAACACAGCTGTAACATTGTTTTCTTTTGTCTTTTTAGGAACCTTTTTCTTTGAGTTCCTTACCGCCTTCTGTTTTGTTTAAAGAGTGTTAAATCATACAATGGCAGCTGCTCATTTTTCATTTTAGATTCAAATTATGGGTTAGTTACACTGTTGCTCATACCAACAGTAAACTACTTGACCTGCATTAGTATTCTTAATGCTCATTTTGGCAGAAGTGAAATTATGTTTCTGAAAGGGCAGACATTTACCAGGTGCATTATAAATCTAGTTAGAATTTGAAAAAAATACAGTTGGCTCTTCTGATGCCTGAGTTACTGAGCTTGAAAGATACAGTGACTGCTATCAATTTCACATTGAAGACCATCACACACACAGCGTGGAAATAGGTGTACGTGGATCAGTTTTCATGTGATTTTAGTATACTGAACAAGGAAAACTTAAACACTGTAAAAATAGAACCATCAACAAATGTTTTCAAATGTTGCTTAAAACAGTGTGTGGTGTACAGGACACCAAAAAATACAATAAGTGAGCATCCCATCAGTCCCTCCGTGCCATGGATCACACACCACTAAAAGGTGGTACATAAGTGTCATGCTGGCAGTAGCCACATGAGGCTACACAGTGGACAGTATTGAAAGATGGCATGTCCACAGCCTCCTCGTATTCACAGCAGACCAAGATCCATTACAGCAAGACCACGTACGTCTTTCTTATCTTTTCCTTTTTTCAGCTGGCAGATGTGTTTAGAATAGGACCTTAAATACTGTCCTTCTCTGCTAAACTATCTACCTGAACTACTGTGAATATGTCAGATCCCTGGTGTCCTAAGTTCCCAGCAGAAACTATTTTCCTGGGGCTGTAGAGTCCTCTGTCTTTTCTCCTTCGTCCCTAGGGCTACTATTCTATATACATCCTATAACTGTCAGGACCAAACAGACCATGACCCTCATTTCATGGGGGGGAGAGGGGGTTCTGGGGAGGTTAGTCTAATTTAACTCCTCCTGATCACCAAGAAGCAGAAAATGTATGTGTTGTGCTCCAGATAGACCTTCTAGTCTAAAATGCATCAGAGTTAGGAAAAGTCTCACTTTAGCTGCGTATGTTTATAATGCGAGTTTCTATCCTAAGTAGAGAAAAATGTTCTCTCTTGGCAAGAAAAGCTGTTAACATCAAAGAGTCTGAATTTGAGTTCTCAATACTTCTAAACTTATTCCCATGATATTCCGCCTGCATACTCAATCCAGTAAAAGGCTGAAAATGTTTCTTCTGCTCCTTTGTATTTAAAAAGAGATTGATGGAAAGGAATTTTTTTGCAAGCAGTATTTAGAGATGACTTGTAGATCCATTATATTCCAGGACCTTTTTCTGTTCCTTTACCTTTGCCCATTTTTAAGTTAAAGTAACAAAGTGAAATGTCTTATGGTTCATTGCAAATATCAAACTGATTTTATCTCCCTTCTTTTCAAGTTTAATTTAGTTTTATGAAAAGATATTTGGGAAAAAAAAAAAGGAACAAAATAATGAAGAGAACATTACTAAAAATAAATCCAAGCAAAGAGCATGTGATGAAGAGTTGCAGAGCCTTCTCAGTCTGGAAAGACAGACTTAATAAAAAATGTGCCTTTTTCTCAACCCTATAACAATTAACCTAATATTAAGTACTAGCTTCTTAAGATATGGGGAAAACTCCTATTATTGTTATGGGTCCCCCAACAGGGGGATGAGATGGGCAAATCTCTATCCATGTTTATCACATTCTCACCAAAACTTGTCCCTTCATTCCAGAGTCTAGCTTTCTGCACCCTCTTATGAGCAAAAGGAAACTCAGATTTACCCATGCAAGTGGAAATGGAAGTGAGTGCTGAAGAACAATGAAGTGTTATTCTGGAGAGTACACCTCAAATATCTTTCTCAAAGGCCATCTCTAACTTCAGATAATACCTTGTTCACAAAAGAGGGTCTCCAGCCAATGTTATGATAGATGTCTGATTCAGCGATCAGAAAGTCTTCAGAACTCGTCTTTGTGGGGCTGAAGAATAGACTGTATACCATATACTACCCAAAATCTGCTCTCCTAAATCCCTGTGCCCCATCCCCAGGCCACAGAATTGCAGGTGTGCAGGTGTATGAAAGCACCCATAGGTTATCCTCTGGATAGGAATTAAGTCAATTATTAGGTCCTGGGAACCTTATTCTCTTTCTGTATCTGAAACTTTTCAATACACTGTCCAAGAAGGAGAAAAGCCTTGGGGAAAATCCTGACAAGGCTTCTGAACTGCTATTACAGCCCCTTCCAATTTCAGGCTACTTGAGGTTTAGGCAGAAAAGAACACAACCTCACTCAGAAATTTTTTATCTTCATTCCACGTAATAGCTCCCTCAGCCTTTCCTCCCAAAAAGACCTGCACTGAACAGGGGGACCCACTGCAGTCACAGTGGCAGTAAGCATTGAGTTGCTATCCTGCTGGCTAACAGCTTTCTTGGGTGGCAGTTTTAGTACTGGGAAATGGAATTATGGAACTAACTGCATTTTGAAGAGAGTTGACTGTAATTTCCAGCTGCGTCTTTAACAGAGGTTTCTACTTAATTGTTGACAAATCGTCCTTCTGAATTTCACTTTTCATCTTGAAGATGCACTTTCTTTATTTTACTAAAGCTGTAGGTTCACTTTTCTTATACCTCTGAAGCGGGATCCTAATACCAGTAAGACCACCCAAAATACACAGCAGAACTTCAGTAAACTTTGAAATGGCTAACCGTTTTAGACTTACCCATACAGCTAGGTCACTTTCTGAGGACTTTCAGATTTCTCCTTTGGAAGCAAGCTGTTGTTGCCAGCAGAGAGGAGAAGCGAACATGTTTCTCTGTTGATCTCACTTGGAGCTTTTAGGCTTTAAGAGAGTGACCAGTAGCAGGAAAAGCACCTGGCATAAGGAGTTAGAAAGATGTAGTTAAAATGCAGTACTCCCAAAATCTTTAAATTGAAAGGCTGTGTAAAATGTTCTTCTTGAGCACTAGTTGATTTTAGGTCAGCATTTCTATATTTTGACAGGAATTGCAACAAAAATCTGAAGGGAAATGTCTGGTCTGTACCAGGGAGGGTCAAGATGCTGAGTGTAATTGCTCCCAGAGAGGGACAAGGAGCAGGGAACTGCCTTACAGGAAAAATGCCCAGCCTGTGCTCTCCTCTGAGCCAAACTCAGGAATTGTCTGGCAAAATCATAACCACCATCTGCCAGAATACTGCAGGAAGCATGCTAACAGCTATACTGCTTTGACAATGAAGTACAGTGGCTGAGCCCAAGCCCCTGCTTTTCTTTAATCCTTGCTGGTATAGACATAGACCGAGATCCTGTTTTCCTAAAAAGAATCCTATGTCCTGCTATCTCTGATGAGGCTTCAGCTCAGGCATATCCACCCCTCACAAACAAAAGCCATGTAAGACATGCCAGAAAACAGATTTTTCTTTCCAGATCCAGTAGATTACATTGAGGCAATTGCTAATCACCTTAACGGACAACAAGCTCTGAAAGCTGCTCACTCATGGAAATTAATGAGTTAGTTAAAAACCAGAAGGAGGAATAAAGCTGTGACTAAAAGAACACTATGGCAAGAAGAACATTCCTGCTCTTATTTCCTATTTTCTACAGCTAGAAAATGTGTTTCTGCTTGTACAGCATTATGATCATGTATCATTCACAATCCTTATAGCTATCTCATGACTATCTTCTTACTGTAATGCAGACTTCAACCTTCTCTGGATATGCTTACACAGTAAATTATTTTGCTTCTACCAGTTTAACCACTACCAATCACACTTGTCACATAGCTCTGCACTAGTTCTGCATCCACAGTGCAGATTTTTAGAGCTTGCTAACCACATCTCTGCACTTGGACGACATATACAATTCCCACTAAATCAGACAAATGGATGCTGCTGAGCCATCTGTTTGAAGATATGTTTAGTTATATAACCTAAGTTACAAGTATTTCCTCACAAATAAAGATAGTTTAGATGGCTACAGAGAGGGGACTGTGCACCTGAAATACCCCCACAAGACTGGAAAATACAATGTTGGAAATGTACAAGATTTGTGCCCTTCTGTAGCAGTTTGTGGAGGCCTGGCAGGATCCCTTAGGTCATCACAAATGGCACTGAAGTCTATACTTAGTCTAATGAACTGAACCCTACTGTCTTCATTTGAGTGAATCTCTAAGATCCCTTTAGTCAATATGAGATCTACTCAGACCTATTCTGAACTCAGCCAGAGTTCAGAAAGCAGAACAGATGGCAAAATATAGGATTTATGAATATTTAAAAAAAAATGTTCTTTTCGGTCAATTCAGAGTAAGAATCACAAGACCAGACTCTGTTCCCAAATTTGCACTTGCTACTAAGGTGAAGTGCCCATTAAGATTCTTGTGCTGCTTTAATAAGTGCTTACAATCAGCACAACTAGAAATTTGACTTGCTTTCCTTGGTATATTACACAGCGATGAACTTTACATATTTGTGGAAGCATGTCATCATAGCTAGGCTTCACAAACGAAGATTTGGGAAGGGCTCTACCCACACTTGCTACAAGTGCACTGGTGGCTAAAAAGGCCAATACGAAATAGGCATGTCTGGTTGCAAAAGGCACAGCAGAAAGACTCCTTAGGTGGTATCGGCAAGACATGATTCTTTCTGCATTGTCTTTTCTCCTCGAGAGTGATCCTGTGTGCATTCTCAAAGGAAGCAGCAGCATTAAAGATAGTGTGTCTCTAGACCTCCCAATTGGAGGTCAGAGTAGACCAGTTACGTTGATCAATATGGCCAAGGCTGAGATGTTGTTTCAGGGAGTCCTTGTATCTTCTCTTTGGGGCTCTTCTCTTGTGGCAGCCGGTGGCAAGTTCACCATAAAGCAGGATCTTAGGGAGGCGGTGGTCCTTCATCCTTGAGATGTGCCCTGCCCAACACAGCTGTGTTCTCAGCAACATGGCCTCAATACTTGTGACTGCTGCTTGTTCAAGAACAGATGTATTGGTCACATAATCTGATCAGTGGATGTTTAGGATTGTGTGGAGACAGCGTTGATGGAAGAGTTCTAGGAGTCGCAGGTGGTGGCAGCAGATGACCCACGATTCGGATCCATATAAAAGAGTAGACAGCACAATGGCTCTGTAAACACTGATCTTTGTACTTTTCTTCAGGTGTTTATTTTGCCAAACTCTTTTATGGAGTTTTCCAAAAGCTCTATATGCCTTTGCTAACCTGTTGTCTATCTCTCTGTCAATCTTACCATCTGAGGAGATGAGGCTACCTAGGTAATTAAACTGCTGGACTGATTTAAGCTCTGATTCGCCAATGGTGATATGGGGATGATGGAAGACTTCCTGAAGTGCGGGTTGATAGAGAACTTCTGTCTTCTTTAAGCTGACTTCCAGTCCAAAAAGCTCAGCAGCGTCTGCAAAGCAGATGTTAAATGCTGCAGAGCTGCTTCTGTGTGGGTAACAAGGGCAGCGTCATCAGAATAAAGCAGCTCCCAGACAAGATGATTTAAGGTCTTAGTGTGGGCCTTCAGTCGCCTTAGGTTGAATAGGCTTCCATCAGTACGGTATCAAATGTAGATACCGTCCTGATCATCAAGGTCTGCCGTGGCTCTTTGGAGCATCATACTGAAAAAGACTGTGAATAGGGTAGGAGCGAGAACGCAGCCTTGTTTCACACCACTGGTAATTAGAAAGGGTTCAGAAAGTGCATCGCCATATCTGACTTGGCTGCGTGGATCCTCATGAAGTAAGATGATCATTTTAAGGAACTTGGGGGGACAACCTAAATATTCCAAAATCTGCCACAGACCTTTTCTGTTCACAGTATCGAAAGCCTTGGTGAGGCCAACAAAGGTTACATAGAGACCTTTGTTCTGTTCCCTACACTTCTCTTGCAGTTGTCTGAGAACAAATACCATGTCTGTGGTACTCCTGTTGGCTCTGAAACCACATTGGCTTTCAGGTAGAATTGCTTCTGCTATAGCGGGTATTAGTCTGCTCAAAAGTATTCTTGCCAGGATTTTGCCAGCAATGGAGAGCAGAGTAACACCACGGTAATTTGAACAGTCTGATTTATGTCCTTTCTTCTTATACAAGGTGATGATGACTGCATCTCGAAGGTCTCATGGAAGTTTGCCTAGTTCCCAACAGCGCACCACAAACTTGTGAAATTTAGCATGGAGTGCTTGGCCCCCATGTTTCCAGATTTCAGGTGGAATTACATCAACCCCAGCTGCCTTGCCAGTTTTCACCTGCTATATGGCCTTAAGAGTTTCTCCCATAGTAGGGGCAATATCCAATTCATTCTTCACCGGTTGTTGTGTAATGTACTGAATACCTGAGTCTTGGACTACACGGCTAGTACTGACAAGAGTCTGAAAGTGTTCAGACCATCAATTCAGAATGGAGGTTTTATCTATCAGAAGCATTTGACTATCTGCGCTGAGTAGAGGGCTTTGGACCTGGTATGTAGGCCTGTATGCTGTTTTCAAGGCCTCATAGAATCCTCCGTAATCACCCATATCTGCGCATAATTGAGTTTTTTCTGCTAGATTGATTCACCACTTGTTCTGGATGTCACGAAGTTTCTGTTGGAGTTTTCTTACCTGACAGGATGGCAGTGCAAGGTGTGCTTGGTGAGCAGTTCTCTTCTTCCTCAACAATTCCTGGATCTATTGATTGTTTTCATCAAACCAGTCCTTGTTCTTGAAGAAGAACCCTAAGGATTTTTCAGAGGACTGCAGGATGCTATTTTTAATATGTTGCCAAAGTGTTTCAGGAGAGGGATCTATAGAATGATTTTCAAGCCTAGTTTGAAGATTTGCCTGGAATCTGTCTCTCACTGTGGCTGTTTGAAGATTGTTAACTTGGAGTCTCCTCCTTGGGATACTGCCCCTTTTAGGTTTGAACTTAAGGTTGAAGTTAAGTTTACAGCACACAATTAATGATCTGTTTGGCATTCTGCACTAGGCATCACACCAGTACAATGGACATCGCAAACATCTCTCTGTCGCACCAAGACATAATCAACAAGGTGCCAATGCTTAGATCTAGGATGCATCCAGGTTGTCTTCAGACTATTTTTCTGCTGAAAGATAGTGTTAGTGATGGTGAGCTGTTGCTCCGCACAGAATTCTAGCAGAAGGCGTCCATTATCATTGCAGTTTCCAACACCATGCTTGCCTAAAACTCCTTTCCAGGTTTCAGAGTTCTTTCCTACTCTGGCGTTGAAATCACCAAGGATAATGATCTTATAATCTGCAGGAATCTTTTGGGTAAGGCGGTGCAGGTCAGTATAAAATTTATCTTTTTCAGCAGGGTCAGCTTGGTGAGTTGGGGCATATATACTAGAGAGGACAACATGTTGCTTGTTGTGTAGTGGAAGGTTTAAGGAGATAATGCAATCAGAATCACCTGTTGGCAGATTTTCAAGTTTAGGGACAACAGAGTTTTTAATCGTGAAGGCAACTCCTGAAAGATGCCTTTCGGTTCTGGGCTTACCTGACCAAAAGAGTGTGTAACCAGCACCATGTTCTCTAAGGCTGCCTTCCTCGTGGAGACGGACTTCACTGAGAGCAGCTATGTCGATGTTGAGACCTGACAGTTCATGGGCAATCAGGGCAGAACGACACTCAGGACATCCACTATTCACAGTATCAAGCATGGTTCTGACGTTCCAGCATGCGAGTGTCAATTTGGGTATATCTTTGAAGGTAGGTGTATGCCTTTGTTTCTTAGACTTTGTTTGACCACATCAGAAGATGCCTGTTGGCCGCAGTTAACAAACCGAGTGAAGGGTGGAGATAAGCTTTGTTTAGGCCACCTTTTCTAGGCCCCTCTCTGAGTGGAGCAAGCAGTGCTCTCCTTGAAAAAGGCTGCTTGGTCATTCAGG